GGTCTGGGCGAAGGATGAGCGCAAGCGGCTGGCGCAGCAGAACCCCGACCTGCACAACGCCGTGCTCAGCAAGATGCTGGGTGAGCGGGAGGGGTGCGGGAGGAGGGCTGGGGGGGGGGATTCGGGGATACGGAACTGTGGATGCGGGATGCGAGAGCACAGGGCTACGGGATGCCGGAATGGAGCTAGGGATGAGGGGATGGTGGATTACAGGGGTGGGGATGAGGGGGTGCAGGCTGGGGATGTGGGGATGCAGGCTGGGGATGTGGGCTGCAAGAGCACAGGGTTGTGGGATGCAGGCGTCCAGAGCTGGGGATGTGGGAATGTGGGGCTGGGGATTCAGGCTGCAAGAGTAAAGGGCTGCAGAATGGGGGTATCGAGCTGGAGACACAGGGATGTGGGGATACAGAGTTGGTAATATAGGAGTGCAGAGGTACGGGGTTGGGAATGTGATCCGCAAGAGTACAGGGCTGTAAGATGCAGGAGTACAGAGCTAGGGATGTTGGGGTGCAGGGCTGGGGTTGTGGGGATAGGTTGTTATGGGTTAGAGCGTCCAAGACAGTGGAATGAAGGAATACAGGGCTGGATATGAGAACTGCAGGGGTCCAGGGCAGTGGGATGGAGGAATACAAGATGTAGAATATACGTTGCAGGAATACAGGGAGTCAGGGTTGGGAGTGTAGGATGAAGCAGTACAGGGATTTGGGATGTGCACTGCAAGGATACAGGGCTGTGAGATGCAATTTGCAAGGATATGAGGCAGCAGGATGTAGGATTAAAGGACATGGGGCTCTGCTAGCCAGGCTGCAAGGATATGGAGGTCCAGGAGCTGCATAAAAAGGATGGGGTGCTGTGGGATACAGGGATAGGGTGCTGTGGAATACGAAGATGGGGGATTCAGGTCTGCAGGCTCCAAGATTAGAGAGCTGTGGGCTGTGAGCTTTAGAGATATGGGTTGAAGCAATACCAGCTGAAGGCTGCAAGAATGCAGGACTACAGGGATGTGGGCTATAAGGATGCAGGGCTGTGGGATTGAAAGCTGTAGGATGTGGTGTTAGAGGATGGAGGACCACGGGAATGTGGGATGTGAGGATACAGAGCTGCATGTAGGCAAGATGCGGAGAAATGAGGCTTCAGGATGCAGAGATGCAGGGCTGTGGGGTTCACAGCTGTGGGGATGCAGGATATGGGAATACAGGCTGCAGGATGCGGGATACATGACTGTAGGATGCGGGATGTGGGAACACGGGAAGCAGGATATGGGTAGATGGAGCTGCAGGATGCGGGCCTACGGGAAGCAGGATATGGCCAGACGAAGCAGCAGGATGCAGAGACACGGGGCTGCAGGGTGTGGGGATGTGGGATTCAGGATATGGCACTGTGGGGTTTGGGGATGGGTGATTTGGGCAGCAGAAGTGCGGGGCTGTGGAGGTGGGATGCAGGGAAGGAGGCACACCAGGGGCTGGACTGTGCCATGGGGCAGTGGGAGGCAGAATCCCCAGCCCTGGCAGAGGGGTTCCCGTGGCCCCCCTGAGTGTTGAACCCCTGTTCTCCCACAGCACTGAAGTGCTGGGCACAGCTGCTGGACACGGGAATAGCCTGGCTTGGGCTCCCATTCCCCAGCTCTTTTTGTGCCAGTGCTGGGACCACACTCAGGTGCCAAGCCATCCGAGGGAGCCCTTCCCACCCAAGGACTGCCTCTCCCCAGGTGTCCCTGTGCCCTGGCTGGTGCTGGGTAGCTGAGCCGTTGTCACAGAGCTTCTCTTTCCCCCTCCAGGCCAGTCGTGGAAAGCGCTGAGCGCCAGCGACAAGCGTCCCTTCGTGGAAGAGGCAGAGCGACTGCGAATCCAGCATCTCCAGGATCACCCCAACTACAAGTACCGCCCAAGGAGAAAGAAGCAAGCCAAGAAAATCAAGAGGATGGAACCCAATATCCTCCTGCATAACCTTTCCCAGCCTTGCAGTGACAACTTCAGCATGAGTCACCATGGCGGCAGCCAGCCGGGCCACCCCCAGCCTCCCCCACTTAACCACTTCAGAGAACTCCACTCCATGGGGTCGGATATTGAAAACTATGGCTTGCCAACTCCTGAGATGTCTCCCTTGGATGTCTTGGAACAGACCGAGCCGGCGTTTTTCCCTCCGCACATGCAGGATGACTGCAACATGATGCCCTTTCGCGGCTACCACCACCATCACCAGATGGAGTTTCCCCAGGAGAAGTGCATGGGGCGGGACGTGGCCGTGCCCTATGCGCAGACCCCCTCACACTTGGCCGACGCCATGAGGACTCCCCATCCCTCCAGCATATACTACAACCAGATGTGCTCGGGAACTCAGAACGGGCTTTCCGCCCACCTGGGCCAGCTCTCGCCCCCGCCTGAAGCCCATCACATGGAGAGCGTGGATCACTTGAACCAAACCGAGCTCTGGACAGACGTTGACCGCAACGAGTTTGACCAGTATTTGAACATGAGCAGGACTCGTCCCGAAGCCTCGGGACTCCCTTACCATGTCTCCCTGTCCAAAGTGACTCCTAGAAGTATCTCCTGCGAGGAGAGCAGTTTGATATCTGCCCTGTCCGATGCCAGCAGTGCTGTTTACTATAGCCCCTGCATCACCGGTTAGGTTGGTCCCACGGCACGATGCACACACCAGGAGAGCCCCGACTCTCCTCTAAAAGCAAAAAGCCATCCTCCTTTAACCACGAGCTCCATCATATTTAGAGTATCTCATTAAATGCATCGCTTTCTTGTTTGTTCTTTTTTATTTTGATTTTTTTTTTTATTTTTTTAGAGACAGATCATGCTGAACTCACTGATATACCGTATAACTATATAACACAGATAGACGCCTTTCCCCGCCGCGCTCCCTGCTCCAGCCCTCGGCAGGGCACAGCTCTAGCTCCCACCAGCTCCAAGGGGCATTTTAAAGCCAATTCCAGTAAATCCTGCCTGAAACAACCACACCAGGATGAGCCAAAGTGACCTGCCCCCAATATTTAACCCAAGGGCAGGCGAATTTGTAGGGGGGGAAACTTTTAGGAAGACTTTGCCGGGGCTGTTAAAGAGTCGGCGCCCATTAGGGGTGGGCTTTAGGACAGTTTTTACTGTATTCTCAGCAATATATTTTAATTGGGCAACAAAACTATATTTTTACTAAGCATTTTTATATATAAAATGGTATTTAATGTCTTCTGGGTTTTTTTTTATTAGACTTTTTAAAAAGAAAACAAGGGATATCCATGAGATCTAAAGCATTTATGTAGCAAAGCTGGATTAAAAAAAAAAAAAAACAACAAAAAAAAAACAACGGAGGAGAAGGAAAAAGGAGATATTTTGTGAAAAGGGAATGAAAATGTAAATATTGTGGAACAACTGACTGGAATTTTGTACAAAAGAAAAATATGACTGCAAACACTTTTATTGTCTAGAACTGTATGGAGAGCAAACTGTTTTATACTGGTTAATTATTAAAACATCTTCATATAATTGTTCCCATCTTGTGTGCTTGTTGTGTGAACACATATTTTCCGCAAATACATGTTGTCCCAACCATTTCCAGATTTTTGTATCCGTTGATTAATGTTTTGACAACCTGGCAAATGTATTAATTTCCAAGCTGCCGCCCGCCCGCCCCGTCAGCCGCCTCGGGCTCCACGAGTGCAGCTCAGCTCAGCTCGGCTTAGCTCGGCTCGGCATGGGATGGTGGCCCAGGATGGGATGCTGGTGGCCACCCCAGGGCACTGCACTGTGTCGCCTGGAGATGCTCTCTGCAGGAAAAGTAGCTGTTCTCAGATTTAAATATAATAAAACATGTGATACCCTCCTCCAAAACGAGCCTTGGTGTGGTCATTGTTTTGGCAAGCTGGCAGCGCGTCGCTGCGTGGTCCCCACGGCTCACCCTGTTTGCCCGTGAAACCCCCAAAAATTAGAGCCAGGCTGCTCTGATGCCTTCACTCCAATCCTCAGAGATGGAAGAAAACCCCATGTGCCTGAGTCTTTCCACCTCCTGGCCTTCACTGGCTGCTTCCCGGCTCCAGCAGTGGCAGGTCTTGCCGAGCAGTCACCGTGCCCGGCCGGATCCCGCTTGGAGCTGCTGGTGCTTTGCTGGAGCTTCATCCCCCTCCTGTGAATCACTTTGTGATTTACAGTATTTTTTTGTGTTCCATTTGAAAAGGAGGAACAACAATCTGTTGCTTAAAACCCGGTGGCATCCGTTCCTTGAGCGCCGAGTGATTTAAACCAGGCTGATATCGCCAAAAAAGGCTATTTAAAAAAAAAATTTTTTTCAAAAAAAATTGAATAGAAGAAGAGTTTTTTTGTTGTTGATGTTGGCAAAGAATTGCCTTTTAGGGGAAATGGATATTTAACAAATGACATTAATTTTCAAGCTTCTCCTAAATTAAATTCACATTAGTGTTAACAGGACTCAATCCTGACTCACTTTTTTTTTTTGTTGTTGTCGAATGTGAAGCGCTAATAAACGGGACCACTCCGGGGGCTGGCGACGCGTTCCCATGGAACGCCACAAAGGCGCTTCATTGTCTTTCCATATACAGTATGTAAAAAGGGGGAATACATGGAAAAATGACCTCACTACCTACACGGGAGGGCTGGCGGGCGCCCGGCGGGTGCCAGAACCCGCGCTGCAGCAAACAAACACAACACCAAATGAGAAGCATCCTGTGCCGCCGCCGATGACTATGAAAGGAAGCAGCCGGCTATGGGATCCATCCCGCTCCGCTCCCTGAAGCGGCCTGGGAGGAAGGAGGTGAGGGGAGGGGGGGGAAGAAGAAAGCCCTGAGTTATTTTCCAGCCCACAGCTTCCAGGTACCTTCCAGGCGAGGATGCGGTCACTTCCTGCGGTTCAAAGCAGCGATGCGCAAGCTGGTCCTGGCCCAGCTGCCCGTCGCATCATGGAGGAAACATTAAGTCATTTTTCTGCAGCAGAAATTCCCTTCTTTCCCCATGGCTCAGCTTGCCTCGGATCTCAGAGGATGGTTATGAAACCCATTGGGGGATTTTTTGGCTGAAGTGCAATTTGGCTGCAGCGTGGCCTGGTTTCAGGTGCTCAGACGGGCACAGACAGGAGCTTCCCAAAGTACCTGCACTGGAAAACTGTTGAAAATGGTATTTAAACTGAAGAAGGGTCAATTGAGATTAGATATAAGAAGCCTCTTTTTAGAATGAGGGTGGTGAGGCCCTGGCACGAGTTGCCTAAAGACGCTGTGGCTGCCCCATCCCTGGAAGTGTTCAAGGCCAGGTTGAATGGGCTTGGAGCAACTTGGTCTAGTGAAAAGTGTCCCTGCCCATGGCAGGGGGGTGGACCAAGATGATCCTTAAGGTCCCCTTCACCCTAAACCATTCTGTGATGCATGCTCAAGGATGCTGTCATGGGTCTACAGCAGGTACCAGACTGAAAGCTGTGATGAGTGGTCATTCCCATCCATAAATGCACCAAGGATTCACCATGCTGAAACCCCAGCCGCTGCAAAAACCCCATCTCGCTGGACAGTCCTACCCCAAGCCACAGGGAAACAAGAGAGAAGGGAAAGGAAAGAGGAAACAAAGCAGAGCAGGGTTTGGGACAGATACAAGCAGGCAGAAGGACCCATGCCAGACTCTGGGAGAATGGCACCTCCTGCCATCATTTGGTGTTCTACACAGCCCTTTTCACCTAAACTCACTGTTTTGGCATCAAGTTTATCAAGAAGTGTCCCAAGTCAGCTCAGTTTGGGGCTGGTACAGACCCAACAGTGGTTTGGGCAGGCGTCTTCCCGCAGTGTCAGTGGTGCAGCATCACGGTTTAGCCACGGCCAGGACAGCATTTGTCCCTTTCCAAATCCAGGGTTTGGTGAGGCTGGTCAGCACCAGGGCTGATCTGGCTCCATCAGGAAGGCAGAGAGCGCAGAAGACCCTGAGAGGGGTGCTGGGTCCTTGGGAAGGGTCCTGGATCCTTCACAGGCTTTAACCATACCACTAATTTTATATATTCTTTTTATGTTTTCATTTATTGGTTATATATTTTATATATTAGTTCTATGTTTATATATTGGTTTTATACATTATATATTATTTTTATATTTTTGTACATTTGACATTGTTATATACTTTTAATATTTTATATATTACTTTTTATATTTTTAACATCTATATTGTTTTTATCTTTCCCCTGTCCCCTTACAGCCACTCTGGGGCCAGGAAACCATCCCCCAGTGTTTTCTTTCGCTGCGTGCCAGTGGCTCAGGTGTGACGTGGGACTGGAAATGGCCAGGACTGACATAGTTTGGGGATGATTTCACTGCCGTTATGGCTCAGGCTGGGGCTGTTACTGTGCAGCCCCTTCCGATTTTTATGACTTAATCTCTCCAAAGCTCAGGGCCGGATGGTTTTGGGCTGAGGAGGAGGAGCGAGGGGCTTTTAGCAGGTCGTTATGGCAGAAATATGGAGAAGGTATTTGACAGGTATATGGAAAACCTGACAGCCCATCCCGCCGGCTTTCCCAGGATTCAGGGAGAGGGGGAGGTGACATCAGGTCCTACGTGGGCTTTATGGGCAGGTGGTATCTGCCTCGTGTCCCCTGGGGGGTGTGGGGCAGTGGGTTCTATCCGTGTGTCTATGTCCCAGTATGTGTGTGTGCACAAGCATTTGTGTGTGTCAGGGTGAACACATGTGCAAACACGTGTGCATCCATGTGTACATGAATCACCATGTGCATCCACGTGTGCATCCATGTGTACATGAATCACCGTGTGCATCCACGTGTGCATCCGTGTGTATCCATGTGTGCATCCATGTGTATGCACGTGTGCAACTGTGGATACATGTCTGTGTATACACGTGCACATGCATGTGCATCCCTGTGTGTGTGCATCCATGTGTGTGCATCCATGTGTGTGTGCATCTCCACTCCTGCACATCTGCGCCCATACGTGTGCACGTGTGTGCACACATCCACATGCACACACATGTGCACGTGTGCATGTATCCATGTGTGTGCAGCCGTGTGCACACCCGTGTGTGTGTGTGTGTGTGTGTGTGTTCTGCTGGAGGTTCACGGGCCGGGTTTATAGACGCTCTGGTTTTTTTACGGCGTTATGGAGCGCTCGATGACATCACCCAAATATTAAAACCGCATGTGCCAGCCGGCCCGGCCCGGCGACGCGCAGCTCCGGGCTCGCCCTTCCCGAGGCTGAGGCCACGATGGAGCCAGGGGCAAGTGGGATGCACGGGGTGACAGTCGGCAGCTCTTGGGCAGCCTAAGCCATCCCAGCACGGAGCTCACCATCGGGGAGGGAATGCTGACACCACAGCCCCCATGAAGTCGTCCCAGCTGGGATGTGTTCGGGGAATTGGAGCCTCTTGGTCCGTGTATTTTGGGTGCTCAGTGCGTGGGTAGATGTTGCCGGGGCTGTTTCCCCACTGTGGCACCAGGCAGCTGCTTTAGACCAAGTGATGGGATTTATATTTTTCCCCCCAGTTGCACAGAAAAAAAAGGAAAAAAAAAAAAAAGGAAAAAAAAAAAAGATTTATCAAAATCAAACCTGTTTGTAGGAAACGGCTCCAAAACATTTCCTGACTCGAGAAAAAGAGCACTGGAAAAAAAAAAAAAGTGTTTCCAGGTTTTTTTAGATGGGAGGCAAAGCCTTTGGAGAGGTAATAGCATTCTGTGGTGGGAGGTTAACCAAAGGGAAAAGGTTGAAATGCAAAGAAAGTTTTCAAATGTTCCCAGAACAACCTTGCCTTGCCGAGCAGAAGCAAAGTTCCCAAACCTTCCCCAACTTTCTTTTTTGCATCCCAGTTTGGGAAAGGAAATGTTTGGAAATCTCAGCTCTCCTTGCAGGACAGGAAAGGCCCTGTTTCCTCCACTCCGTGCCCAGAGCAGCCGGGCAGCAGGGACGCAGAGGGTGAGGCTGGATGCCCTCCCCAGCTCTGCTCCCAGCAGCAGGAACACCGAGCTCTGCTCTGCTGGCTGTCACAGAGAGGGGAGGGCAGCTCCCTGCAGGGAACAGGGGCCATGGTATCATAAATATTACAGGTTTTGTAAAGGAAAAATAATAAGCCAATGAGGAGCCCTTAATGTGCCCTGAGAAGTCTGTGCAGCCTGAAACTCTTCAGCATTTCTCTTACTGAAAGTTCAGCCTCTACATCCCCTGTGGGGCTTTGGTTGTGCCCCCGCAGCTCCCGGCATTGCCCCCACCAGCCCTCACATGCCTTCCACTGCTTTAGGGCCTCCACAAGGACCTGGTCCTCCAGCCCCCAGCCCCACACCCACCATGTGCTCACCCAGCACCATGCTGGGGTCCCCTTTGGACTGTTTGGCAGGTTTGGGTCTCACAGGGAGTCATTGGGGAGTTTGGGAGCTTCTCCTCCCCACTGGCTCTTGGCCGACTGAGCCCCACATCATCTGTCAGAACCATTTTGTGCTCCTCTTCTGAACTGAGCCAGCAAAGCTGTGATGTACCCAGAGGCCAAGGGGTCATGGAAGGGCTG